AGCGTCAAAACAGGACACTGGCAATTGAGCTAGGGTTTGGCGTTTTCGGTTTTAATTATTTTGAAATTCGGCGTACATTTTTCGGTTTTTATTTCAGCAGAAGTTTTCGGTTTATTGCTGAGTATATTTGTTGACTCATAGACTTTTCAGTTCTTTTCGGTTTATTGACGAAAACCAGTATACTGATGAAAATTCAATATTTAAAGGCGTTTGTTTAAATAAATAATGAGTAAACCAGGTACTGGATTTCTTATTTGTTGCTGTATGTGGCAGCCGACGCGACCTGTCCTGCAAGACGCACTAGGGCCCTATCGTGATCTGACATCATCGTCGTGGGCTCGTATTTGCACACAGGACGAACATGAGCTTTACTTCCACTTCGGTCCGAGAGGCAAATATCAAAATCAAAAAATTTGCAAGCATTGTAATCAGTGCGTCTTTCCCCCATTTTCACGACCGCGAGAGGTGGTTAATACACGCAGTCCAAGAAACGACAATAAATCAATCGTATCTATGCCCTCCTCAAGTAGACGGAAGCTATGAGTGTTGAACAATGTGCGTCATTTACGGATGCCCTTTAAGTTTATTGTTCAGTTCACAATTAAACTCTCTTCTTTGAACAAAGAATTCGACACACAAATCCTTATCAGGTGAAAAACCCACATTTTGTCCTGAAGACCATTGCGTCGGTTCAACTTTTGTTGAAAGTTGAACCGATCTCGGAGACAGGAAAACTGTGAAGGAAGTGGTCATACGGTCAGTAATGAAGCACATTCCCCCACCCACCCCTCCAAACGCCCTCGAAAATACTGACCTCCAGTCAGTTAAAACCGAATTTTTAAAAAAAGATTTCGTCGTACTTTTATTGGTTTTATCGGTTTAAGTTGAAAACGCTGAACCCTAAATATAGCGATGGAGTTAAAATGCTTGTCTCAAAGCAGGCACTGTAAAGGAATGGAGGGTCTAGGCCAATTCCTCGAAGGTGAACTCGTCGACGGCCAAGTTGTCGAATCCGTTCTCATGAAGGCTCCCTGGGCAGTATCGAAGCCCCCGCTGTTGCGTATCGTGGCTATTTCTCGAGCAGTTCTGTTAATATTGACGCTCAAGTTTGCTGGTGATGTCGTCTACAATAAATTAATCAATCACACGGCAATGTGTTGTTGTTAGTTGTTAAAAAAAAAACAGAAAGTGTGTGCGGCGACGGTGTGCTTAGCCATGCTGTACGGCAACAGCATTGGGGCTGTGGCATGTTTCTGCTTCACCGGTTTTTACTCGATCGAAGCCTTCGTCGGCAATAATCTGTGAATTTAACACAAAACAACTTCTCGCCTGCAAGCTGCAGCCGCGTGTTTCCGGGACATTTTATTCACGGCGAATGAACCCCGCAGAATCGTTGCCCATGGTACATTTTGAATTCGCTCGACATTAAAATTACCTTATCTTCCCGGTTTTATCAATGCATCTGTGATTGGCGCATCTACCGCTTTTTTGGGGGCACGTTCTACGCTTAGGTGGTATTTACGAAACGACGAGTGCTACGGAACCTCACCGGACCGCCGCCGCAAAGTAGACGGTTCATAACTTGAAGTTACGGATTTCTTTTTCCCAATAACTTTTTATCTTTCGTTAATTCTAAAAAAAAAAGAAAGAGACCAGACAACGCGCCCAACATCGACGGGAATATATCACCTCTAACTACCCAATCTCTTCAAAGATCAGCGTAGTTAAGTAGTAGTAACTACAGCTAACTTCGTATGTTTTAGCAATAACACAGCAGCACCAGCCGGGACACTGACTTCGCAATAAAATAGGCAGTAAATTCCTTTATAACCGGCTAGCGACAACAAAAAAAAAGTTAAGGAGGTTTGAAAATATTCGCGCAGAGATAGGTGAAGAGCGCGCTCGAAGTTGCTACATGCGTGCTGTTTTGTCGCTGTGCTGTTTTGACGCCGCGCTGTTTTGGCACGTGCTCTTCTGCCGCTGTGCCGTTTTGACGCTGTGCTGTTTTGTCGCGTGCTATTTTGACGCCTGCTGTTTTGTCTCCGTGTTGCTTTGACGCGGTGCTATTTTGACGCGTGCTGTTTTGACCGTGCCGTTTTGTCGCGTGCTGTTTTGTCGTGTGCTGTTCTGCCGCGTTCCCATTACTCTGCCGCTTGAGGCTTGGTCATTGTTATGCCACCCATGGGTACTTGTTGCATGGGGCAGATCCTCCTTTTCGCGAACACTGTGGTGAGATCTTGACGTCTGGCATATTCTTGGTCTCTGCTCTGCCCTTGCGCAAGAAAGTCGCTCCTGTTTTCCGGAATTTTCAACATATTGTATTCCATTTCACCCTGCACTAGTGCTTGGCGAGCAGCCGCGATTATTCCTTTTGAACGTGTTGCTATGTTCCTTGAGAAAACAGGTTTTTTTGCATAAGTTCTAGCTTTTCCAACATGCACTTGCTATTGTGTGTGATCACCACAGATAATTAGGTACTTCTCAAAATTTTGTCTTCTGCCATGTATTTCACCTTTTACTTCTACATTAAATAACACTCTACCTCTGTTTTGCGTAAATATTTAAGTTTGGCGAGTATGGCCACGTCGCTGTTGCGCCAGAAAGCCCCTCCCTAGCAAAAATAACGGTTTAAAATCAGTCCGGAAAGTGAAGTCCGGACTAAAATCAAACCGGAGTGAGACCGGAGAGGCAGCTTCCGGTTCACTCAAACCATGAATTTTCGAATCCGGTTCAAAATCAAATTGGAAGAATTCCGGACAGGCAAATTCCGGTTCGCTCAAACCGTGATTTTCCTAATCCGGTTCAAAGTCAAATTGGAGGAATTCCGGGCAGGCCGATTCCGGTTCGCTCAAACCGTGGTTTTCCTAATCCGGTTCAAAGTCAAAGTGGAGGAATTCCGGACAGGCAAATTCCGGTTCGCTCAAACCGTGACTTTCCTAATCCGGTTCAAGGTCAAATTGGAGGAATTCCGGACAGGCCGATTCCGGTTCGCTCCAACCGTGGTTTTCTTAATCCGGTTCAAATCAAATTGGAGGAATTCCGGTCACGCAAATTCCGGTTCGCTCAAACCGTTACTTTCCTAATCCGGTTCAAAGTCAAATTGGAAGAATCTCAGACAGACAAATTCCGCTTCACGCAAACCGTGATTTTCCTAATTGGTTAAAAGACATAGTGAAAAAATCCGGACACACAAACTCTGGTTCGCACAAACCGTGATTTTTGAAATCCGGTTAAAAGTACAATTGAAGGAAATCCAGACACACAATATGCGGTTCGATCAAAACATTCCTTGCCAAATTCGGTTACAAGTCAAATTGGACGAAGTCTAGACTGAAAATATCTGCTTTGCACAAACCATACTTTGCCATATCTTGTTCAAAAGAAAATGCGCTCGACGGCACCGCTGGACGGCCTTTAGGAGGAGGCGTCGGACAAGGAGTCTGATTGACGTGATGACAGTGATTAAGGTTTAATTATGCGCAAATAAATGTTTTTCTTAAGACTTCAGCTGGGTCGTACTTTACGCGGAATATTTTTTTTTTGTCCTCATATTTCGCAATATACGCAGATAAAACTTTTTTTCGCGGTCCTCAAATTATGTCGCGTATTATACGAGATTTTTTACAGTACTAGTCGTGGTTTTTGTGACAATAACAATTCTTTTACAAATTATGCTACACGGCCTTTTTGTTAAAAACCTTGCACCCAATTATGCTCTTAAAAAAAATTTTGCTTTTAGAACAAACGAAGGTGGTTTTATATATGCCACTTGTTATGTTAACTGTAGTTGTTGATATAGGTGTCGACAACGGAAGGGAATCAAGTTGGTACGCCACTGTGGGGACAGATTGTTCATAGAGTAGATCAGCAAGTTTCTCAGTGCAGAGTCGCTACAAACCTGAGATTCCACTGTAGTGGTTAAATTACCATATCTAAATAGGATTTTCATTTAGATCGAAAGGGAGATTGGGTACTCTGAGGGCTTAACCCAGTGATCAGTAACAGAAACACATAGACAGTGGAAAATAATGGCACAATATGGTCCTCTTGTCAATAATGTCATTTATTTACAAACAGGTAAAAAGCCTACAAGGGAAACTTAGTTATAGGGTAACAGTAAAGGAGGGATAGGCTGCAAAAAGAGCTGGCAATATTGGTAACGCTCCGAGGAACGCAAGAGGGAGCCAAAGGACTTCGTGAAGAGCGCCCAGCATTCAAAGACCGCGGACGGAGAGGCAGGGTAGGAGAACCGCCACACGGAGAAACAGGGTTGGGCAGACGAACAAACAAGAAAACAATTTGAAGCGAGAAAGCCGGTCCGTTGTTTCCACTGCAACGAGACGGGTCATATGGCGACTGGTTGCCGAAAGCCTCGCATGGTATTGCGAGTAAAAATGACGAGAACGATGGGCTGCTCGAGCCTTATCTGCGAGATGAGAACGAAGGGCGTTTGAGGCACTGAAACAGGCACTTACGAGACAGCCCACTCTCATGGCACGTGACTACGACAGACCGTTTGTCACTCAGTGTGGAGGCCACACGGGAATATAATATTTAGGCTGGAAGGCTCAAATGGACTGCTGGACTATTTGGCCATTTACGGGTTACCCTTCAAGTTTAAAGAGAACAATCGGCAACTGTACAAAGTTGAAGTGACCTTATTTCAATCCCTTGCAATGGTGTTCGGCAAGTCGCAAACATACGACACACTTGAACCTTGGTTCAGAAACTGAAGGAAAAGGCAAGGTGCCTTGACGTCGGATGGCTCGACAACCCGTACCACCCCTGCCCTGGAGATGAAACACTCCTTGATGTGGCTCGGAAAGTGCTCGCTCTCTGTGATTACAATGTTATCACAAATGAGAAACACCCTAGAGCCCACACACAGGATGTTCTGTATGACACAGTAATCTAAGGCACGCGTCTGTACTATAGACGAGTCGGATTTTAAGGCTTTTTTGATCGTCCTGCTGCGAAAGATTTGCCCTTTCAAGACAAACCTTTTGTACTCGGCAGCGGTGACAGGGCAGTGTTGAACATGCTCTGCGAGAGCAGAACTGATTGCCGGCGGCAAGATCAGCTTCCGCGGGCACCCAAGCAAACCAACATCGCCCACAGAAACGAAGTTGAGTAGCTTCGGATAGCCCAGCATTCTGAGGCACATGTTTTTACACTCATCAGGCAAGAGTGGCGAGGCTAAGATGGAATCTAACTGCTGAGCCATCAGCACCCTCTCCACAATCTGGCTGGGCACTGCATTAGCTCCAGTTACGAGCTTCACCAGCCGTCCATTACCAGACTCGAACACAAAAGCGGAGTGGCCCCAGAGTGGTCCCATCTGCCGAGCCGCCTCTGCCAGGTGGAGCAGCTGATGGATATTGAATGTCATTGCTTGGTCCTTGTACAGCGTCGCTGTGGAGGCCACGAAGGCCCGCAGCAGAGCATCTGCAAGTAAAAAGTGTTGGGTTATTAGTAAACTCTCTTTAATTCGACCTCGACGGGATCTTGAAATTGGGTCGAATTATTCGAATGATCGAATTAAAAAAAGGACAGAAAAACTGTTAAAATTAAGCTTTCTTTTTATTTTCCGAAGTACTTAACGGATGGTCTACTGCCGTCTGCGCTTAAAACGCGCGACCAAAAGCATGCTTTGGAGAGCAGCGTAACTAAACGTCACGTCCCCGAAAAGTCGTGCACCACAAAAAAAAAAAAAAAAATAATAATAATAATAAAAAAACGAAAAAAAGTAAGTTTTACGGGCCGACTTTGGCGCCAACCAAAGTCAACTCGGCGTCAAAAAAAAAAAAAAAAAAAAAAAAAGGAAAAGAAAATTCGCGTTTTCTGACACACACGATGCTACAGAGAAGCGCTTTGCGCTTCGAGAGCGCGCGCTGAGGAAGCTTCGATGGCTTCGAGCCGACTTTGGCGCCAAACGGCCAGACGCCAGCGACAAAGAGAAAAGAAAAAAAAAGAACAACAACAAAAAAAAAAAAAGGAAAAGGAAAACAGAACTCAGATTTTCCGGTGCGCAAGATGGAGCGCACACGATGCTACAGAAACGGGCTTTGAGGACGCGCGCGCTGGCTCATGCACGCCCGACCACGTGCTATGTTCTCCGCGCTACTCCACGCCAGATTGGTTGCGCTGGCTCGTGTCATTCGCTACGGTCCATCTCAACGGCGTAGAGGAGCAGGCGCATATTTGCGCACGTTCCGCTTTGCAGCAAAGGGCCTGTGTTTCGCCGTACGTTGGTGGTTTTTCTGCCGTGGTGCCATGCAATGTGAACCCGCGCGCATTCGCTGGGGACGAGTTCTCTGATGCGGAGTCTTCCCGAGTGCGGACTATCGAACTTTTCCTCCCATCGAAAAGTATGGGAGCTCGCCGGAACTTTTGAACACGATCGAAATAACCGAGGTCGAACTAACAAAAGTTTACTGTATAAGTGTTACGGCGAAATATTGCTTCCGCATTTTATAAACCGGGTTTGAAATTCATGTTTCTTAGGGTATCTGAAACAATTATCTGACAAAATTATTTTGAAAGATTCATATGCTCCATACCTCCATGGCCGATCTTTTTTATGACAGTCAAAAAGTCTGCGTGCTTCCTCAAAATCAGGGTGCTTTTTACCACAATAATGCGAAGCTTTTTGTTTGCTTCCCGTTATTCTTGTCGTCTGCTCCATACAATGACACGGGAGGCACTCACTTGATCGGATGACGTTTTAGCGAACGCCCACGTTTCATCGAACGACGCTTTAGCGAATAGTCGGACGCCGCGAAGCGGCGTTTTCGGGTGGGCCAAGTGAGTTCACATTTTTGTAATGAGTTGCCGTAGACTGTCGCCGCGAAGCGGCGTAAAGCGCAGCGCGACGGATGGGTTAACGCGCGCCCCCGTTATTCGCTAAAACGACCATTCGCTCAAATGTCGCCGTTCGCTAAAATGTCATTCGCTCTTGTGATATGGACCCCAATGACACAAAATAGAAGTGTTTGCATAGCCACCGTTCGTCTGCCCAATTCAACCATTAATTCAGTGAGGTGTTAAAAACTACAACTGTCGGTCTCGTCTCTGAGTAGGTGTAGGCATGAGATGCTTTGCAGGGTCCCCTGGCATTGTGAGGGGCTCAGGCACTCAAAATCACAGGCGAGCTTCGTATGAGCCATTGATTCCGAAGGGAGGCACTCACTTGATCGAATGACGTTTTAGCGAACGCCCACGTTTCATCGAACGACACTTTAGCGAATAGTCGGACGCCGCGAAGCGGCGTTTTCGGGTGGGCCAAATGAGTTCATATTTTTGTAATGAGTTGCCGCAGACTGTCGCCGCGAAGCGGCGTAAAGCGCAGCGCGACGGATGGGTTAACGCGCGCCCCCGTTATTCGCTAAAACGACCATTCGCTCAAATGTCGCCGTTCGCTAAAATATCATTCGCTCTTGTGATATGGACCCCTCAGCACATGCACTACCCTAATGCTTGCTCCTAACGAGCAGAGCACGAGCTACCCCTGTGGCGCACAATTGACCCAAGCATTTGACATCTACAAACAGCTTGTGCCATAGCTCAGTTGGGTAAGGTGGCGGATTGCAACCGTGCCAACCCAAGTTTCATTCCCGTTGGGTGCCAACTTCTTTTTCCTTAAACAAGCCTTGAAAAGCAACAGATATGCCCAAACTTAATTTTTTAATTTGTTTTTAACGACAAAGTATAGGCGTCGCGGCAAAATATTCAGTCTGTATTTTAAAAGCCATGTTTAGAAATCATGTTCCTTCAGGTGCCTGGAACGACCATACGACACTGTTGGCCAGCCTGAGCAACAAAATGTCACAAACATATCTGTGCAAGGTTGAAGGTATACTATATTTTCTGTTTAAATAATAGAATGGAAGTGATAGAAATCGTTAGTTATGTGTTGGTGCCCTTGAACCAGTTCCACGATTCTATGTCACATGATAGCGATAACGTTGAGGTCATTGCTATTCCGAACACATCCAGGTTTCGTTTATGCGTTCAGATTGCAGGCGTTCCACAAAATCCGGCGGCGCCCGGGTATAGTGGACACGCCCCCCGTCACAAACCCGGCCGCGCCTGAATATAGTAGAGTTTCCTTTTTCTAATTGTGCGGGAAGCGAGCCAGGTGGGGACATCTGCGTCCACCTCCAATAAGCAAGTCGTAGCTGCACCAGCTGTTCGTGGACGCTTGGGATGACTTTCAACATCACTGAAATGCACTTTTTTTTGTCGCAGCTGCGATATGTGACCCGCACAAACTGGAAGACGCCTCTGGGCTTCGGGCCGTGATTTGTGTTCTGCGAGGAAGCGGGCAGCGCGAGCGAAAACTTGGACGATAGAGGATGCTGAAAATTCATTGTCCAGCAAGGAAAGAGTGACGGTAGCAAGCCAGGTAAAGGCAAGGGAAGCCTTAGGAAGAAGTGTGTTCGTGAGTGTATGGTCCACCTCATCGGGCTGCCCACTAGAATACCGTGGTATCCACCGGAACCACCCTTCATCCCCTTCAGACAATGCATCACAGGAGGTTGTCATCTCCTGGGACTCGCTTGTTCCTTAGCATAGTAATTAGATTGAATTTAATTTAGTCTTTCGAGAGCTCAATCTGAATTGTTTAGTAACTGTTTTTCTCCATGGATTAAGAGTGTGAGTTCTTTTGCCGCCCGCACACCGGCCAGGTGAAGAGCTAAGGTTTGTCAGTTTCACGTTTTCAGGGCCTCGGTCTGACTAATTTCACATTTTAGAATCATTAATTTTATTAAACGCCCATTGTTCTCCACAAGCAGTTCTTCAACAAGGCGTGGACCTCACATGTGGTCAGCCGTCATAGCCTTTGTTTTGTATTTTTGTCAACCACCAACCTTTGTAAGTCACGATAACGAACCTCTTTATGTGACAAAACTGATATCTGCGACTGGACTGTGTTTTATCCGAACACGTGACAAGGCGGCACATCAGTAACCTACGAAAACGTAAAGAACTTGTAAGTACTACCTTGCAATGCCCTCATTCTGTCATTTTAGTTATTTTCTTGCTAAGCAATAGTGGTGAAAAGCAGCTTATTAACAGAAACAACGAAAACTTAGCGGGCAGCATTGAACAAGTTCAGCTCGTCGCGGCAAAACGAACTCAACTACCCCACCTAACCCTCACGTATTTTTTTCTGCGTTTTCATTCCTGTGTGTTTTGTGCGTGCGTTGCTGGTTTGCCATTCTCTCCACTCCCGCCTTTACGCCTCTGTGTTGTGGGGTATGTCTCCCATGCTGGTTCGCGCGCGCTGCGCGCGTGTTCAGCACGTGCCATGCCGACGGTATTTTCTTTTTCTGCAACAGGGAATTACGAAGTACGACGTGCTCTTTCGGGAGAGTTGTCCACGTGCAATATGAAGCTGAAAAAGTCTACTAATACTGCGCTTGAGCAAACGACGCTGAAACTCGGGGAGGTCAGATCTGGGGAAAGTATCAGACGTCGAATATTTCTAATTAACTTGTACCCTTGACGTCAGCATGGAGCCTGTGTTGTCCGAGGTACGCCGGACGGATATTTTCATTAAAAAATTAAAACTTCTAAATTGTAGTCATTGTCCTTTAAAGTCATATATGATAACTGCAATGATATCACATGTCTGTCCTAACCTGCACGGTCAATGGAGGATGAAGTCAGCTCCTCTCTCAGGAGAAGGTGCACACCTTCCACAAGCTTTGCGAGGTGGCTCCAGTACCGCGGATGAAGGATCCCAAGTGTGCATGGGAGGCAGTAAAAAAGTAGCCAGTGCCTCCACTCGGATGCTTTCCAGTTGCCACGAGTACCCAGGGACCTTGGCAGCCTTGTGAAAGAATGGGGAGGCTTGATGGCAAGCAGACGCTTGTCCACTGCAGCAGCTAGGCAGGGGCTGCCTGCAATATTAAAAGCAAAAAAAGGTTCTACTATTTCACTTTTAACATGTTGGAAGGTGGGTCATGGTGACGGTACTCTGTTGAATTTTGACAGGCACCAGATCATGCCTGTACATTTTCTGAACTCAAGGTGCATGATCTGTTAGATGACTTATTTTGTGCTTTCGTCATGTGCATTGCCACTGCGACATGAGTCTAGGATATAATCTAGCGTGGCAATTAGAGAACCGTATCATAAGCTGGGATTCCATAATGGACTGAACGGGCCTCCTCCAGCTGATTGTCCCTACCTTTGTTTTTTTCCGGTACTGATGGCCACGCAGACATTAACTAGATAGTGTTCGTTTGTTGGATTGTGTTCTTGGAAGAGAGGGTTAGCGAATTCCAAAGAAGTAGTATCCCTGAGCCTCCTTACCTCCTCAAATATTTTCTAGCCCAATATTTCTGCTCAGTTTGGCAGGCTGCATAGTCTCCTTACAGTCAAGTCAATATCACTCTTCTCCGTATGGGCACCACAATGCGCTTTAGAAGTTTGATAACTATGTAATATATTAATATTTCTTACAGCTCAGTGCAATAAAAAGTTATAGGTAGATATTTGAAGATATCATAACAATAATTTGTTGCATCCGTCACACCAAAAGTGTTTTACAAACATTTTAAAATTTAGCATTTCAAAATACCCAAATCCAGCCACCTTGTAGGCACTAGGTTTCCAAAAACTCTAACGGTGAATGCGTATAACTTATATACAAGCAATCATTTCCGACACCGCTATGCGTTCATGGATACCGGTGACAGTGAAATTATTCACAATCTTCATACAAAAAGCTTACTAAAGCTTAAATTGTGCCCCTAATCCTACCTATGTAGTACCGCTCGCTGGAGTTTGCAGACGACAGTAACAGCTCCGTGATCTGGCGAGTCACGCCCAGGAGTACGGCGTGCATATACTCCACCGTGAACCCCCACACCAGGTCAAAGTGTGGGAGGTTCACGGCTGGTGAGGGACCCTTGTAGCCGTTGATGACCATGGACATCTCCAGGGCCAGCTTCATGTCCCGCAGGACACCTGCAGACGTTCTCTCAGGTGCGTCGTCGAAGGAGAGGAATCTGAGGCTCCCTGAAAAATAAGGTTGAGGAGACTATAAAAATTTGTAGTAGCGCATGTATGCATTTAAAGATCGCAGGTAGGTACATACCATCTATGTAATCTCCCTTGATTAGGCACCATGGGCACCCATAGTACCCATTGAACAACACAATGTTTTGCACCGAGGAGCGTGCAGGGGCATCGACGCAGCAGCAGAGGACATAAGCCCTAGATGAATGCCGTGTGCCTTCATGCTGCCAGAGAACAGGCTCCATGGTGGTCACCCCTTCAACGAACTTTCCGAGGAATAGGGTCATGTTGGGGTACCCCCTCCCAAACCAAAGTCCAGCGAGGGCAGAAACCTTGAACCGTTGAGGCACTGGCAACTCGTTGACGGTGAACTGGATGGGCCACACAGATGCGCCGGATGATGTGAACACAGGGCTCCCATCAGTGTTCACCGTCAACGTGAGGTCGCTGCCCTGCAGGGTCCCTGATGACTGGAGCTTGACATAGGCTTCGGCTTCTGTGATGTCACTAATGACACTGGCGTCACCCTGCCGGTCTCTGGCAACTCCACTCAGCTTCTCATGAAGTGCTGGCTTGTTCATCTGGATAATGTGATTCAGCTGCTTGCCGATGTCCAGAACAACAAAAAAATCACCGTCCTTCTTCACATTCTTCAGCTTGTTTGATGTCTCACAGGTGGGACAGATGCCGTCATCTTCTGCAACTTCCAAAAGGTCGTTGCATGAGCGGCAATAGAAATGGTATGCAGCTGCAGACTCTGTTTCGGCTGCCCAGAGCTTTCGAAAAAGATATTTGCTCTGTGGGAGCACAGCTGGCTCTGGATGGAAAAACGCATTCACCATTAAAAGCAGGTTGTCCAGGCCCTTCCAGCTTAGGCCTTCACTGGCTACCAACGCCATTATCATGGCAACAGCTGCTGCCTTGGTAGTGGTCGAATGCGGCAGTGTTTCAGTCCCGAAAGCTCGTAAGCCGGCTGCGAGCGCGTCCTCCTCACTCACAGGCGGGGGTCGCTCGGTGGTCTCTTCACTGGCAGGTGGAGATTCTGCTGTCGACTGGGGGGCTGTCTCCTCTCCGTCACTCCCCGAAGAGTCTGCGTCCTCTGCACTAATCGTGGACTGTGTGTCACTGCTCTGGAGATCAAGGTTGCAGTCGATCTCGTCACTATCACTAGGGACATCATATCCGGGGGAAGCGTCTGTTGCTGGATGGTTCCCACTTGTCGCAGACTTCTTCTTGCACCTAGTCCTGGTAGACTTTGGCAACTTGAAGGGTGTCCCCTTCTCCATGTAGATAAGACGTCGACGCCGAGTAGGTTGGTTACTAGCCATGATGAGACGTCACTCACAGAGTCGACGAAGATATCAAGCATTGAGTTGCAGCTGAGCTTGAGAATGATCACGTGTTCCAGCCAACAAAGCAATAAAATAAGAGTATAATGAGAGAGAAACGAAGGTGAACGCCTAGAAGCACGATGACGCGAACGACGACGTCAGAGACGAATATTAAAAGTTCAGACGAAGTACACTAAAGCAAAGAAGGAAGGCAGCAAGGAGCGCAAAACAAACCAGTCCGAGCCTCGACCGATGACGAGACATACAAACAACGACGGCGAAATCTACGCACACAGCGCAAAAATGGTCCACGTAAATAGCGAGGGTTATCTAATAAAAAAGTAAACGGCAAAAACACGAAAGTACCAACCAACAGGAACAAAGGTGAGCCGCCGACGGCGAAGCACAAAACACCGGGAAAGCCCACGTAAATAGCAAATGTTAGGTAATAAAAAAACTAAAAAAAAAAAAAAAAAAAAAAAAAAAAAACGCGAAAGCACCAACCAGGGTACAAACTTCTGCCGCCGAGAGTCGAAGCGGTCGCCGAGCCGAATAAAAAAGAAACACGAAACAGCGAGAAACTAGCTAACCAGAGCGATCAGAGACGAAGACCACAGGAGGGATCGGACCCCTTCAAATCCCAGCGTCCCAGCGTGGTCCAGCAGTTCAAGAATTTCGAAGGACTCTTTTTACGTAAGATAGCGCACCGCAATGTTCCAGTTCTTTTTTCGCGACAAGAACCTCAGCCGTTTAAGTTCTACCCAGTCGAATCCACAGGTCGAATCCACTCCGCTCCACTCCTCCTCTCTTTTTCTCCCATTCCCGCCTTCCGCTTGGTCTCGCCCGCTTCTCCCGAGTCTTCACCATCTTCACTTCGCCTAAAGCGGGCTTTGCTTTCCGTATCCAGTTTTGTTTAATTCCGAGGTTCCAAGTCGCGATGTACTACACGTACGTCCGCTTTACTGCCGATAAGGAGGCAGCAGTCTTGCCAGTGTCTCTGGTAAAAGACTACAACCCAAAATCTGACACCGACATCCCGAGGGGGACAGTACAGGCATACTGGCGGTCTACAGCCGGTGAAGAAGAAGGTTATTACGAAGCAAAGGTGGTCCTTCTGGCAAGTAAGTAGATGATGGCCTTTGCTGTTTTTTCCCCGAGTTCGCTTTGCGCTATTCTTTTGTTTCATCGGCAGGTTGTGTGTCTTACCTTAGCACGGGCTAACCGCAGAGGCTGTGCTTAGCGCGAGACTGTAGCCTTGACTGGCGCTATACTCCATTTCACCTAGAGTGCCTCAAAGGCTTTCTGTTTAGGGTGATGCCATCGTTTGTAGTACCCGATGTCGACAGCACGCGCTCACTGGGAAAATTAAAAGAAATAGCCAGAAACAAAATGTCGTCGTAACAGTCAGCGCCACGAGCGCGTGCAGGGACACGCTCCTTCACGTGTTTCAGAAGAAAATAAAAATAAAAATAAGCGTTCGAAACAAAATGGCCAGATGTCATCACCCCAAGTAAAGCGCGCATGAAGGCACCCTAGTTTCACCTTATGTTGTACCGCAGCGAAGGCTAGAAACGCGAGCTCATAACGTTAGCAGCTGCCTTTGATGCACGAGAGCTTGTGCCGCCGAGATGTGCTTTACAGCAAGGAACTCGCGCCCGTATCCTTTCTTGCGGTACATCATAAGGTGAAATGGAGAATTGCGCTGTGCGAGTGCTCGTGCAGCCGCCAAGGCGCCATCCAGAGCGATTAGCTCCCGCTTTCGGTACGTGCAGCCAACAAATAGTCCATGATAACGTGAGACGAAGTACCGCGTACGGGTTCAAGGGCTGGGGAAGGGGGGAGGAAGAAAAGAAGCGCCCTTTCTCGTTGACAGCAGAATATTCGAAACGCCAAATCCTTGAAACGATCTTGGCAACGGTGTGTGTGTGGTCTGTTATTCAGTATTTCCTTAAAACAGTCCGAGTAAACTTGCATCAGCAGTGCACACTAGGTTTTAACGTAGAATGTGTTGTACGGCAGGCTCTTAGCTCTTCCCGTAACACACTTGGGCGTAATGGAGGTGCATCCCACGAAAACCAGAGTAAAAAGTGGTGGAGAAAATGTAGGTGCTCCAGTGCTTCCGATTCACAACCCTTCGTTTCTAAATCGGGATTTTTAGACGCTGACCTTGATGTTTATAGCACAGCGAGTTTGAAATCGTGGTAAAGCGTGAAGGAGGCAATCGGAAAGAGGTCAAGCGCATGGCTTCGGAGTAAGTGAGTGGGTGCCAGGCAGAACGCTCAAAGCTATGGAATGGTGTACTTCTGGCCTACTCGGGCAGCAGCGTTTTGTTACTTTATATTATGAACTGGAGCCACATTAATATTCATTCTTTGCGTGTGACTGTGTGTGACAGAGGTGCTGTGCACATTGCAACTGATTATCGTATTTATTCGACTTTAAGTGGACCTTTTCTTTTTCGGAAATGTAAAAAATTAAAGAATTTCGACCTACATTCGCGACCAAATTTTGCGACCCTACCGAGGGCCTGGAGCTATCGAATCACCGAGCCGGCGTTGCCGTAGAACCGCGCCGCTTCTTGTTTCAAAAAGCTTTTGTTGCACGAAAACAACCTAAACCGTAGCAGCCCGCAGCCGCCCTCGCGCACATCCCTCGGGCGTCAAGTTTCGCAATCGCGCCTGTAGCGGTCCCCTCGCTGGGCAAGGGGGAAGGGGAGGGGGAGGGACACGATGCGCGATGCACCTTGCTCTCCATCCCTCTCCCTTGCAAAAACGCACAAAAAAATATTAAAAGAAAAAAAAAAATACGGAGGTTACTCTTTGTTGCTTGCGGTCGTTTGGTTCGCGTGTTTGCTCACGGCGTTGCTCCCGTTTTTTGTATTTGTTCTTTCGTCGCTTCGCCAGTCTCCACCTTCTTTCGTTTTTTTACAACGGTGTCAGTGAGGTATTGTTGCGAATTCGCGAGGATGTCTACCAAGCTGACGAAGCTTCGGACGTCGATGACATCTCCGGAAGTTTTGACGATGATTAAGTTTTTTTGGCATCGCCCTGTTATTTAGCTGAGAGTGCTGTAAAAAAATATTTCTTTCTTTTTATTTTTTGCCTTAACTTTCCCCTGTTCCTAATAATAATAATAAAAGAAATCCACCTATATTCCAATATTTTTGTTATTCTCGGGGGGTTCAAAATAAGGGTCGTCCTATTTTCGTGGTCGACCTATTTTCGGGTAAATTCGAATTGAAATGACTTCAGGGAAACTAAACTCGGACTGCATGTGACATTCTGTGCAGTACTAGCTTGATGATATAAAATTACCATGGCAAGGGCTACGCTTGTGGCTGGTATGCCATCAGTATGCCTGACCAGATTGCATCCGTGCAACCCATCTAGTGTGTTACTGAAGAAACACCTTTTGATCTTTTTCTCGTCAGAATCAAAGGCGGCATTCCTCGAGGACATGACACAGAGGAAACGAATGATTATTCCTCAGATTTTTGACGAACCACTCAAAGTAAGTGAATCTGTTACAGGTGATGAGAAAAAAGCGCAACAAGACAGCGGACACAGAAGGAGACACCGACACAGCGCTGTGTCTCCTATGTCCG